TTTKRAAAAAAAAATATCCTGCAAGCCATCTKCACCAAAAATAAAAATCGTGCACAACATATGGACTTGAAAAAAAATCTTGCATCACCCTAAGCCCCCAAAAAATGTTACATACAAGAAAAAAAAATCCTACACACCACCAAGAAAAAAAATATATCCTACTACCCAAAAGCCACGAAGAAAAAAAAATCTTGCTCACAAGAAATTGTCAATCGATCATATTTTCTAATACTTTGTTTTCTTGTTCAAAATATATCATAAAATGTAACAAAGACTATACAATCTGAAGAATAAGCGCTTAGGCTGTTTACTTATTTCTTATTCATGTTAATTTTACGTGAATGCAAGTCAAACAGGACACAATAAAAAAGCTACCAATTCAATAAAAGATATTAAAATATATTAAAAACGAGTTATTTTATAAAGAAATAAAACCCTTTTTATCCGTGCCTTCATAGTGCTATGAAAACCTCGGCCTTCGGTCTCGTGCTTCACTGATCTACTCTCAAATTCTCCCAAACAAACGCCTCGGTTTTCATAGCGCTATGAAGGCACGGAAAAATGTTTTATTTCTTAATTGGAAAAATCGGGAGGCTGAGTTGGGGTTTAAAAAGGAGAACATCAAAATGAAAAAGAAAAAAGAAAAAAAGAAAGAAGAAATAGTGAGAGGGAATAGGTTACCAGATACCCCTCTTTCTCAAGCCCCCGCTGATTAAAGGTCGCTAAATTCCCGCACGTGGGTGCAAAAGTTTCAAGATGGCGGATTTGTGTACATATTAATAAAAGAATTTTCTTGCTGTACTTTTAGGTCAATGATGAGTCTTTGCCTTAAATTAATCTCTTACTAATTATACCCTATTGCTTAGTGAAAGTTAGTGTTAAAAATTAAGCTTTTCATAAATCAAAAAGAAAATGATCAGCATAGAAATTTGGGGGACTTTTCACATCGCATGACTTTTCCCATAAACTGTTCCGTAAACGTTTTATGGTATAGCATCGAAAAATCCTAAAATAACACTTAAACTATCTGGAAATCTCAGTAAAGATTTAAAATACACATATGCGATGTTTAGTCTCCATGAACAAGAATGAACATTCAAGGGGACAAACTTGTTGGGTTAAGCATCCTACCTTGTTTCTTTATTAGAGAACTTTTTGAGCACACTTTTGCCAAGATCGAAACCCAATCGCTCGGCTATCAGTCTGGCAATKACAGGGTGCGAATTCCCTCCGAATATCTTGATATTTGGCATGATTTTTGGCTTTGGAACTGACGATTTATCTGCTGTCGGAGTCGGAGTCTGGTTTTCTTCAGAGCAATGCATCGAACATGTGCACGTCCCAGGCTACTCGATCATGCAAGGAACGCCTGTCGATTTAGGCAACAATGTGACTGGGAACGAGTACTCGAGTTACTCGTGACAGCAAACGGTCCAATAATAATGGAAAAACCAGAGTAAAATTAGTAAATTTTCAAGTTGACTGTCAGTAACACAACGATAACATTAAGCGAAAAACAATCTTACAACAAATAGACGACAAATAATGTTTCTCATCCCGACTTATAAAAAAATACGAAACAAATAAAATATAATTTAAATTAGTATAAACATATTAATGGTCTATCACTCATACTGCGCTGTGATTGGCTACTCTACTAATGGTCTAATTTGTGATAGAGTATACCATGCACCAATC